CCTCAGCAATCCACTTTGTTTACAATTTCTGGGTCACTATGGCCTTAAAGCCTACTAGTATGGTGTTTAGATGATGTACCGGTACTATTAACTTATCATGTGTTTGACTTCTGTAAAGTAAATAGGTGAGAACATATTTGGTTCCAGGTTGAAAACAAAAACAGTTTTTCTCTAGTTGATAGTATGTTTCAAATCATATTGTATTGTTTTGTATGTTTCCATCAAGGGTCCTTAATTGGAACATAAATATTCTATTCTATGGTTTCAAAGCATATTAAATAAATTTTGGCATCAGATACATTCAATCAAAGCATGCTGACTGTTTAATTTGGGGAGAATATAATAAAATTCTTTCCTTCATCACCATTACTTGATAATATAGCATCTTGTAGATGCATCATTCAAGTAAATGACTACTTTTGGAAGTATTTTTTAAGTAGAATTATGACAAAAAATATGCAATGATGTTCAATGTTTAAAGATTTCCAATTAGATTACACAACAATAACAGATCATAATGAATTTCAGCTAAAACCAAATTCCAGAAATTTATGATTTTTTTCTCTAAAAATTTAGTGAATCTCTGTCCAAAACTATGCTTACAGTTTTCTAAGGGACATTGACATCAAGTATTGAGGCACTTGGTGATGATGATGACATTGACATCAAGTATTGAGGCACTTGGTGATGATGATGACATTGACATCAAGTATTGAGGCACTTGATGATGATGATGATGGCTGGCTGCTTAACATCCAGCAAAAAATTACTATAAAAATAAGAAGACGTGGTATGATTGCCAATGAGACAATTCTACACAAGAGACCAAATGACACAGAAATTTACAACTATAGGTCACCATATGGCCTTCAACAATGAATAAAACCCATACTGCATAGTCAGCTATACAAGGCCCCAAAATGACAAATGTAAAACAATCAAAATGAGAAAACTAATGGCCTGATTTATGTACAAAATAATGAACGAAAAACAAATATGATATACAGCAACAAATGACAACCACTGAATTACAGGCTCCTGACTTGGGACAGGCACATACAGAATGTGGCAGGGTTAAACTAGTTTGAAGGCGCGCACACCCTCCCCCTAACCTGGGACAGTGGTGTAACAGTACAACATAAGAACAAACTATAAAAATCAGTTGAAAAGGGCTTAACTCATCAGGTCCATACATCAGAAATACATCTACCTAACAAAAACACAGAGTGGACGTGGCAGGGTAATTATACATCCTCACAACAAAAAGACACTAAGTACAGATCTGAGAGTACTTGCGGTTACTGACAGCTAGTTCAAAGCCAATAACAACTAATAAAAAAATTATGCATCTCAGACTAAAATATCAATCAGGATACATATCCAGGATTTTTAACGTGCTTGTTCACAAGGTAACAGTGCAGGAAGACATGTCACCTTACCCGACCTCCCGAACTGGAGGCCAAGGTTGCTGACAGCTAGTTCAAAGCCAATAACAACTAAATCATGCATCTAAGACTAAAATATCAATCAGTATGCATATCCAGGATTTTTAACGTGCTAGTTCACATGGTAACAGTGCAGGAAGACATGTCACCTTACCCGACCTACCGAACTGGAGGCCAAGGTTGCTACCACGAGACCACCGAGTTGGTTTGAGGCACTCGAAACATTTTGACTACCAGTACTACTAAAACGAAAATGAATACAACAATGGGATTGTGTGTTAACACAAAGAGATTAACATTGTAAAACTTTTTATCCCAAACTATGCACTACACCAGTAGGTTTAATTGATATCTATGATATCAGATAGGCAGGGCCTGTGATAGAGAGAGAAAATGTAAACAGCTAAATCCTAAAATGTCAGGAGCTTTAAGGGGGCTGCGACAACTTGCTTTAGAACCAATGGTTGTTTCCCAGACCTCACGGGGGTGGGGAGGGGGGGTCTCAACGTGGGATTTTGGGTACAGTTGTGCAGCTGGGATTTAACCCCCCCCCCCACCCCCCCCCCCCCCCCCCCCCATTCATATATTGAATAATTGTGAAATCCCTACCAATACATATATTTCACAGGGAAATCATAACCCATTCATATATTTATCAGCTCAAATAGTACCTATATGTGTCAATAAGTTTCAGCAGATGTGGAAATTTTAATGACAAAGAGTTTTGGAAATTCAGTGAAGATCGTTGCACAACAAACTGAAAAATTATGACCCATTGATATATCACAATTGGTCAATTACTACCTATTGATATATTTCCTCGGTAAAATTGCACCCCATTGATATATTTGACGTATCAAAAAAGGGACCCATTCCAGCGGCACATATGTGTATACCTTCATATAGGAAGGGACCCCCCCCCCCCCGTGCCAGACCTTTCACCTATTTTTCACATGAATAAAGCTGAAATTTGTTCAAGGCAGATTTTCAATTTTTTAAGGTAAAATAAAAAGAAAAGCACTCTTTTTCCTTACAGCAGACACCTATTATTTTATTTTCAATCTTTAAAAATTAGAGTATCCTTTAATATTTAAAGCAAATTGACAAACACATGATGATAATTTGGTTATCTCTTATTATTTTGGCCAAAATTCAAGTTTTGTTTCTTTCTCTTCTTGCATCATTCAATTTTATGAGATTAAGTGGTAAAAAATAAATGAACATGTAAAATGCCATGAACACACAAATATTTTTGTTATACATAGAAGATAAATACCCACACACAAGGATGTTACAATAAAAAAGTTGTTTTAGTCAGGATATATTTGGTGTTACAATAAGCGCATTGAATGGATGACTCTCTCAGGGTAAGGGTTCATAGAATAGAAAATGTTCGCTTATGCTGCTTTATTAATCTTTGTTTGTCACAAACAGTATTGAATATTTTGAGTTTTTAAAAAAGATGAAAAAAAGGTTTACCAAAGAGTAAAATCATCTGGTAGGATAACAAGAGATTAAGATTACTTTTACTTTAGGACTTATTTTAGTCTTATCAAATAATGTAATAAACAACTTTTACAACAAAAACCATAGTACCCAAAACAACAAGTTATTATTATGTAATATTTTTGTATTTGAAATACCAATAAAGTAATTTATTTATGACAATGAGGTAAAAATATGACTAAAAGTTACTTTGTTATTTGTATGTATGTTTGTTTGTATAGATCGTAAAAAAAGTGGAGAGGATTAATTTTTGACCAAATTTAAGAAAATAACCTTATTTTTAACATTAAAAGTTCTTTTAACCTTGGATCTACATCTCAAAACGTAATTAGGTAGATATTTTTTCACAATATGATATTTTGATAGTAAGTTGAAGGTCGTTTCGATACACACCTCCAGTTTTAGCCAATAAATTGCACGTAGTCGTTCGACCTCTTTCTAAACCAATCAAATTTGACTTTCGGCACATTGTAAAGCCGGTACATTTTTGTTCTTTTCAACTGTTTCTATTATTCGCCATATTTTAATACGTATTTGAGTAATTCCTATATAACCTCGGCCAAATTTTGGTATTAAGTCGAGAAATGTAAACAAATTGGCACGTAATTTGTTTTTTATCTTGTGGAAAATTTCTGAACATGTGACTCGTATCTCGCCTGCGGTTGGTTATATCACGAGTTAAAAGGTCATCATGAATAAAATTTACATATATTGACATCATTGTTGAAATTTATCAGCTGTTTTAATTCATTCAAATCCAACGAAGGAACTACACGTTATATTTTCTGTGCAAACATAAATGTATGATTTATCAGGATACTTTGATAATTGCTCTTGCAATTTAAATTTTGATCTCATAAACGGCAATACGGAGCCGGTAACTGTGATATTACCCTTTTGTGGTATGTGCAATAGGAATAAATATCTCCAAGATCCACGGAAAAAGTCACGTCTGTCAAAAAATGATAGTATGATTTTCAAAGAGGTAGGCACTTACAATTTTATTTAAAACTATCTTAATTGTATTATATTCTATCTCAGACATATGAAATTTACTAAAAAATAAAACTATTGTATTGTTTCGCCGGCCAATCTCCGGTAAACTAGACATTTGCTGAATCTCCCGTGGGAAAGACCCCTGACAGGTGTCCGATTGTGCTACGGTCAGCTGTTTTTAGACTGGACGGCGAACAAAGAATTTTAGGATTCTGTCGATATCCTTAATCGAAAAAAAAAGCATTTGTTCCAACATTAAATAAAAGGTTTTTTTAAAAGTAAAGAAAATTATTCAGTTTATTTAAAAGTAGCGGCCGGTTTAAAAGGATGTGTTGGGTCTTGTCAGACAATCAATCCATTGTTATGTAATATACATTATACAACAACTGTCGAGGTAATGTGCTAGAAGACACAGCCTTTAAATATATTGAAAACTTGGAAATTCCAAATCGATATAATGCATATTTAATTAAATGTGTATTGTGACTGTGTTTGGTTTGTTTAATAATGATACTTTTTTGATTGGGGGATTTTACTTCAATTTGTTAATGAAACCTTTATAGTTCGATTTAATTTGATAATGTAATTTGAATTTTAACATAGAAGTAAAGTAAATCTTTTCCATAAAACTAAACAAAATAAACTATAGGATGATATTGGCTGATTGGGCAACTTAATATTCAAGTTATGCTTGCTTAAAATTGAGTAGGCAAAGGATCACTGGGACCTTTTGGGATTAAGCTTTTTCTACCTATGCACAGTGGTCATCCTTGGTCATCTGACTTATGTCCACTCAACTTTATATATATCATTCATTCTGTCAAAAAAATTACATGTAAATACTAAATCAGCTGAAAATTATTTAGTGATAATCTCTACCGTTCCTGGTGTGCAAAGAAAAACCTTTAAAAGTTTATGGTAAAATTTTTTTTTTGCTTGCAAATACTCTGTAGTTAAAAAAAAAATTGTAACTATTATTTCATGAAATTGTTTTCTAATTCAATACAAAATCAATTTTTGTTTGAATTCTATATTTTTTTCCCTTCTTTTCAGATTATACCTGTCAACACTACTGAAGATCAGGTAATTACCACATTAAATAATTTGCTGTTTCAGAATCTTTATGCATTCTGGGTAATATTTTCAAAAGAGTACACCAAGAGGTTGTTATTTGATAATTGGAAATGCAACTGATGATGTAACATTATTTTCATTTGGGGTTCAAACAATGAAATTACCCATAAGTCCTTTAGATTCTGAAACAACTAATTTTTTATATAGATTTGTATGCGTACAATTTTTAAGAAGTATTAAATCAGTTGATATTTGCTTTTGGCAAGTAGATCACATTCTCCATAAAGTAATATAAGGAGAAGTACTATTTAAGAAGTATTTCTCAAATTGCTAGCCAAGATAGCTCAACTTTAAACAACTGAACTGTCTATGAACACATAAAGTTCAAATCAGAAGGTTTTATATATCATAGCAGAGGACACTATTGGTCTACTAAAGAAAGATAAGTTGGTCCATTGCAAAATCAGTGGCAGAATGTAATTACTCAGTTCCATCCCCTTTCACCATCCTTTGAAAATGTTGTGAACAATAATTAACCTTGATTAAATTTTCATCCACCTTTTCCTCTCGATAAATTTTTCATACTATTTAGGGCTGAGACATATGTGTCCAGTCTTAGGGCTGAAACATGTGTCCAGTGTGAGGGCTGAAACATATGTGTCCAGGGTAAGGACTGAAACATGTGTATACAGGCTGATTCACTCCAGAATGTTACACAAGTATTTATTGAAAAATATGACTGTTTCTTTTACATTTGTCATTTCGTCTTCAAAGTAAGTCTAGGGCTAAATTATATAAATTTATTACAAAGTTTTCTGCAAGAATTAAAATGTCTCCTTTAAAGATTGTTCTTATGCTAAGAAGAAAAACATTGCATAAACCTCAATATTAAAATACATAATTGTTACATAAATCAATACATACATTTGTAACATGTTTTATTCAATATTTAATTTTTCACCTGTTTCTCATTTAAACAAGTGAATAAAACTAAAAGTTATTATAATCATATTAACCAATGGTCACACTTCAAAAATTTGTTCCTGTTGACACTAGTTTAAAATTCTATTTAAAAAGGAAATCACTTTAAAAGGATTGTATTAAAAAGAAAATTGTATTGGGTAGATTAGTTGACGTGCTGATGCAATTACATGCTATAGGTTTGTGGAAGGGTGATGCAATCAAGAAATACATAAATAGCTGATGAAACTGTTAGGATCTTGTTATTCTAATCAAGGATGTTGAGATGTTAGGTTGTGATTTAGTTGTATATCAGTGAAAGTTTTTATTTTGTTTTTGTGGATTATATACTAAATGAAAGAAAAATGATGATCCAACTTCAGGATTTTCAAAATAAGAAGGTAGAATTATTAATATTTATTTTAGAAAAAATTTGGTAAATAACAGTTAGCATTGGTTAGCGAGAACAATTAAAAAAAGTTTGTAAGATTTTTTGAAAGAAAGTTAAGAGGTACATGTATTTACATGTAATGTAATTAAGACCATTGTTTAAATGAAATTTTTTGTGATTAATATCTCAGTATAAATTTGTAAACTTTTTGAAAAGGAATTTTTCATTTGGGATTTGATTCACATGATTTGGGAGAAGACATTTTTTTACATTTTGAAATAAATCACCCTTTTAAGAAAACAGATGAAATCAATAACTTTTTTTTTAATTTAAAAAATATAAAGTATAGATTTGTGCAGAGAGGGTGTATTCTTAATGTTTTACCAAAAATAACTGAATTTAATGGATGTTATGTCCTTCTACTTTATGTATTTGTCAAAGCACAGTTGACAGGTAATCAGTCAGTCACACTTGACAGAACTCATAAACATGACTTTAATTAAATTATTACTTAATTAGCCAGAGCTTGCTGATTACAGCTATTTTTGATAGATCACTGCACTGATATTATTGATGTTTAATCAAGACAATGAGCTTTGTCTTTTAAATTCTAGATTATCATATTGACAAGTTTTTTTGGCATTTTGTTGGAATTATGTAATATATCATTAAGAGTGTAATAAACTTATGAAAACCATAATTAAAGTGTTAAAATTGTAAATTGCTAGGCAAACACACTTCCCATCTGTCAGGTGATAATTTACCTGTTTAATTTGATAACTCTTATTAGGTTTATTCAATATTAAAATTTATAACATAATTATGTACACACATCCAGTTGTCATTATAAGAAAGATTAAAACAGATAATTTCATCTTTAAAATACAATGATTTAATTTGCAGATTAACTGTAAAATAAAAATATTGGCATTTTGTAAATAGGTAATAAGTTAAAAAAAATATGGTTATAAAATTTCTTTAATACAATAAAGTCCTGGGTCTTTAGAAAGTTTCTCTGATCATTGGCTAAATCGAAACTTATCAGATTTCACAAAGTTCATAATATTGCCTTTATACAAATTGTATATATAATTTAAGATGCAACTAGTTTGTATTTAAAGCTTGTGATTTTATGAGGCCTATGGATTTTGAACACCACCCGACCATCTCCTTCCAATAATTTTACATTTTAATGTTCTTTGATTGGATGAAATAGTTTGAAATATAGACTAACATTTCTTATGATGTTTTTTTTTGTCTTTGCAGACACAAATGGTATTTATAGACGCATTTCTACAAAATAACAGGCTGGACCATCTTACTCAATTGATGGGCTACCACCCAACTTACTTAGAAAATTTCCTGCGGACTCAGCAGTATTTGCTCCGTGGAGATGGACCTTTACCATTTCATTTCAGACACTACATTGCCATCATGGTAAGGATAAAAATACTTTAAATAACTATTATTAGTATACATGTAGTTACTAGTGAAGTGGTGATTTGAAACAACTTTTAATGACTATAATCATAGATGTAAAGTAGTGCTATTGTCAAGGATGAAAAAATAATGGAAAAATGCTATTTTCATCCTTTTTGCTTAAGTTGCAAAAACAACATAAAGTTCGTAATTGGTTTTAGCTGACAAAGACACCTGTAATTGATTGTTAGATATTTATTTTGTGAAGGTCAGCGGAAAAAGCTGATGCCAAGATACATGTAAACACAAATTTTGCAATGTTTGTCTAATGTTAGGTTTGGTATAAATACACACACTGTACATAATAATGTATAGCCACAAACTAATTTAAATGGGAGGGCCTGTAGCAACTAACAAACTTACATATAAGTGACAAGCGTTTGGTTTACCACAAACACAGTTTTTTTAAACAGCTGACAAATGTAAATCGCTCGTGTGACTTGTGGCGTGATTTGGTTATACAATGATGTCATTACGGTCTCCAATTACAAAGGTCGTAAAATGTGTCTTAAGGGTTTATTGGATTCTAAAGAGCTCTATTGGAAATTTAAATTAAAATGGGTTCATTCAAGTGTAACAAGCATGTCCCTTTTACTTTGTTTGAAGCCCCTTTGTTGAATTAAAATTGAAAGGCTACTTGAAGAAATATTGGCCAGGTGGCTGTATCTCTGTTATAAAACCCCCCAAAAAAAAAAAAAAAAAACAGACTGAAAATGATAATTTGAAACAAATTTTATAAATGAAGAGAATATTTAAAGCAGAAATCAAATCAAATAACTTATTTAAATATATCTTAAATACTTTTATTATATTTTATTATTTTGTATTGCATTTAGATATTGTTCATAAACTAATGGAGTATATTTTCAATTTTCTTTTAGGCTGCATCACGACATCAGTGTACATATTTAATACACCTTCATGAAGAAGAGTTCATCTTACAAAATGGAGATCCTGATTGGTTAAAGGGACCAACTCATATTCCAAAGAAAATTAGGAACCTGTTTGAACTGAACAAATTAATGGCACACAGACCATGGTTGATAAATAAATCTCATATTGAAGTGAGTTTATAAAGTTGCTAATGTGAATATTTGGCCTAACATTTTTGGTTGCAATGTAAAAAAATGAATGTAAACTAAAATAACTTCATTATTGTTTGAAGCTTTGAATTCCATGCCAACAAAAATAAAGCAGAATTTGCATTTATGAAGAAGAAATGAATCATGCTATATTGTAGTCAGTGGGTACACTTATTAGACTAGACATTTGTACAAGTACATGATGAGTGGACTGTCCTAATGACAGATTATACACTTGGATAACCTTGTAGTATTTATAACTCTTGTCATCTCTGGCCAGAAGAGTTTTATCCTAAAAGTATTATAATGATGTCTTTATCAAATGAACTATCTACTGGTCAAGGAAGTGTCAGTTCTGGTTTCCTGTTCATTATTAACTGGTTACTTGTATGTTGCTAAAAGTTTTATATTGAATGTCACTTTAATAAAATAAAACGCTTTGAGTTCTTGTCCTAAATGCTGCTCAATTTGTTTTGGCATCTACTTAGATAAGATGATGACTTGAACAAATGATAATACACATGACAAAAATAAAAAGTGCTTCAAGAATTTAAATAATAAAAAAAACGTATTATTTTTTTCAGAAATTAACAAGAGGAAAAGACAATTGGTCACTCTCAGAATTAATGCAGGCTATATGTTTAATGGCACACTTCCATGCCATGTGTAGTTTTGTGTATGGTTGTGGTGTACGGAATGAGCTGGATCATAATGGAGAGTCATTACACCGCCGGTTATCGATGAGCGATGATTCCGATAGTGACACACAGGTACGTGGAGATTTTATTTCTTGGGCAGTTTGGAATAAATCATATACATTGTATACTAATTTCACACAATTGTGCCTAGTAGATAATAGGGTTCCTTGAATTATAATTTGATTGTTTCTGGATTGTTTAATGTCATAGAATTTTAATATATTTATTGTATATACAAAGTGCAACATAAGATTGAGGTAACCATTGCATGTTGTTAACTTATTAATCAGTCTTCAGGAAGTTATTCTTATCACGTAAGAACTAATTCTTGTGACTAAAATTAAATATAGAATGATGAATTATTGTTTGCTTAATGTCCAGTGTTTAAAAATAGATGTAATACCAAAAGATTTAAAGGTAATCATGTATTAATTTATCTACATCACCTGTAACTAAACGTGGAGATTATCAATTTCATTCACCTTTATCGATGAACTAAATATTTGATCGCAAGTGACGACCTTGGTTAAATTGGTGAAGGTTGATAAAATAAAACTTTGTAAGAGAAAAGGTATTTGGCTTTTAAAAATAGTTTTTTTTTATTTGGTGTAATCATTTTATGGCAAGGAAAAAATTGCAGTCCATTGTTCAATTTGTGCTTACATAGCCTGTTTAAAATGCAGGAGAAACGTTAAAGCTATCTTATTTCCAATTCTGACTAGGGAAAAATTGCTGTCCATCATCCTTCAATTTAGGCTACCCTAGTCTATGTAAAATGCTGGAGAAATGATGTTTGATTATTTCAATTTTAAAATTTATTATATATATGTGTGCTATAAATCTCTTGTTTTGGTTTCTAGGGAAATGAACCAGAAGTAAAAATAGAAGTTTTGATGGAAAGGATGAAAAAATTAAATGAAGATGACAGTGATGATCCAACAGAGGAAGAAAGATTAAAAAGATTTGAATCAATAGAAAATCAAAGTGTTGAATGTAAGTGTCTCAACAAGTTACTATTGTATAGTTACCATTTTTGCAAAAGATACATGAGTGATTTATGGAACAAAATATCCAAACAAACATCCAGGATTTTTCCACCAATAGAAATTGGTTGCAAGCGTGCTAAAAGTGGATTTCACACCAACAAACAATTGGAAAATCTAAAGAGAATAAAAAAAATTTCAGAAACAAAATATTTTTCAATACTAGAGTAATAGTAGCATTGTATTTTGTACAAAAAACTTTAGATTTATAACATACATACACATAAATCCAACAATAAGATAGTTTAGAAATAACCATGAGTGTCATTTTTCAAACTTAATTTTTCAGTAATAAGTTCATCGATCCCATCACCTAGAGTAGAAGTGTTAAAATATTGTGAAGATCCTGAGTTCTGCTATCAGGATTTTGCTAAACGAGACAATTTAGACTCTATACCTACATTCAGAGCACAAGATTATAATTGGGAGGAGCATGGATTCTCATTAGCTAATCGTTTATTATCCGACATAGGAAGTAATTTAGAAGATCGATTCAACATTGCCATAAATTTAACATACTACACGTAAGTACCTAATTCCATTCTTTTAGGCATCAAGTTTGAATGGTTTTACACTAGTAATTTTTTGGGGCCCTTTATAGCTTACTGTTCGGTGTGAGCCAAGGCTCCGTGTTGAAGACCGTACTGTGACCTATAATGGTTTACTTTTATAATTTTGACTTGGATGGAGAGTTGTCTCATTGGCGCTCATACCACATCTTCTTATATCTATCAAGTGCAAATCTTATAAAGTGGTGTAAGGGAGGTAACTCTAACCATTTGTCAAAGTATACTATTCGGCTATATGGTTTCATACTTATTTTATACATATATTTATTTATGGTTTCATTTAAAATGAACACAAGTTTTTGAAAAAAAGTTTTGAGACAATATTGACTGAATATAGAAAATTAGAATAATAATTGTGTGGCAAGCTTTTAATTGTTGTTATTCTATTTTTTACAGAATGGGGAAAGTGAAAAATGTTGATACCAGTGCTTTCAGATGTGCAATTTGGAATTACATACATTGCCTTTATGGCATCATGCATGATGACTTTAATTACTCCCAAGTTAACCAATTGTTAGATAGGAATTTAAAATCATACATAAAAACTGTGACATGTTATCCCGAAAGACTGACTAAAAAGGATTATGACAGTTGTATGCAGGAATTCAGACATTCTGAAAAGGTATGTTGAAAATTATTATAAAAATGAAAATTGTATTTTTGAAAATCTGTAAGAGTTATTCAAAAGTATGCACAGATAAAGCAAATAAAATATTAGATGCATTAATCAGAATTACACAGAAAAAAAAAAGCTTAAAAAAATGAGCAGCTTTTTTCACATATATTCTTAAGAAAAAAATATTTGTGTTATGAACATTATTGAATAACTTTTTCAATTAATTTCAACAATTTGTTTTGAAAGAAGCACAGTATCTTCATTGTCTCAACAACTAAATCAATGTTGAATTGTTAAAGGACATATTCGATTTAAAAAAAAAAGTTATTATGGATAGAATTTTGTAGGTTTCATTGCCATACATATTGAAAAAAAAGTTTGACTACACACTTTACACACTAAACATGTGGTTGATTAGCTTTAAGTAACCTTAAAAGTATGTTTAAGTCTTAACTTTATATACAACATACATGTACAAAATGTATAACCACAGACACTGTTATTTTGTTTGCCAATGAAATCCACTACCATCCTATTTAAACATTGTATACTTCCATGGATAAAAGTAAAAACCCAAATTGACAATATTATCTTTATTATTCCAGGTACATGTGAACTTAATGTTGTTAGAAGCCCGGTTACAAGGAGAGTTACTGTATTCCCTACGAGCAGTGATGCAGCACATGACGTGAAAAAACAATCGAACAATGTATCTAGTCTTATGGCCAATGGTGCATTGTGGGTAGTGGCCATTTTTCTGTGATAGTCTTTCATTAATAAGTGATACTGTTTTTATTTGTTGTGACTGTATTTAAGTGTCTTGTAGATTATTTGAACTAATGAACAGGGGAAATCTATTAAATTTTTCTGAATTGATGTCAAAATTTAACAAATTTCAGTTTTCTATTTACTTATTTCATTTTTTCATCATTGATTCGATCATAATTTCCATTTTGAATTAAGTTGAATAGCAATGTCAAGGACATTTTCAATAGAAAAGTTGTATGGAATAATGTTCAGTAATATAAATTTTCTGTCGTCTGCTACTACATTTTTTGTACTACTTTTTGTTTACCTTTCTTAGCAAAAATGTTTTATCAAATGAAGAAATCTTGATTAGTTCCAGGGAGGATAGAAATTTTAAAATACAAAAATTGGGATGATCCTGATTTATAGTTCATTTAAGCTGCAATTGGGAATGTATGTTTTTGTTGAAAATGGTTCGTGAATGATGTTGAACATGTTATACGAAATGAGATTAGCCATTTTTTTTGGGCAAAATCTGTTCAAACACACAAAGCATTAGAGTGATGTTATGATTGTAAGATCTTTGCTAGTTTTATGGCAATGATAAGGGTAGATTTAGTTTTCATTATGAGATTGTGACTGAACAGCATTTCAGTAGTGAACAAACTTTAATATTGTATGTGGAGCTTTTGAGAGGTCAACATTGTCAAAGTCATGTTTTTACGACGAGTTAGTACATTGTGCCACTAAGTTGTCAGTTTGTTAAACAGTATTAATTCATTTGAAAAAGACGATATACATAGTCAAGATTTTTCTCAGGGATGTTTTTTTTCGATAAGAGAAAAGTTATTGACTTTCGGCCTTTACTTTAGATATGCTGTAAATGCAAATATAAAAGAAAAAGAAATGCATAGATAGTTCAGTTGACTAAATCAAAAATTACTTACAATGTAAGTTAACATTCTCTTCTTGTGATGTATTTTTGTTTTATAACAAGTTTTGTTTTCGTTATTTATTAACCTTACATTTTTCAAAAATGCAATTTGCTTAAATGTTTGAACCCGTTCTTGTAGTGCTTTTATCGATAAAAATCCATATTACCTTGAAGCTAGTTTAAGTCAAAAAGCATAATTCTGAATATTGGTGCAAAAAAGGAGTCAAGTCTTCCTGGAATACAAAAAAAAATGTTTGCCAAAAGTTCAATTTTGTTCAGAAAAATCATTTTTAATATTGTTATTAGAAGAAAAAAGATGATTTTAATTCTGAATAGGAAGTTTTATTTTCAAAAAGTTTAATTTATATAGTTGCATATAGTCCTTCATTTGAAAAGATGATACTATCTTGATTTGATCAAGACAAAAAGTGCTGATAAAAAACGTCAAAATATCACTTTTTATATTGTTGAACAGTATTAATGCAAAATTAGGATAATTGAAGAGTGCTTATAAAAAAATGAGATTAATAGAGTCTAATTTTGCGTTTTTGAATAGCGTACGGGTATGGTTAATGTAATCGAATGTAATTAATTACTGATTATTACATCATAACATTCATTGAATTCAAATACATGTACATGTATGTTCATTCCGTCGATCAAATATTAATATCATATCATAGTCATTCATACGAACATGTAAATAATAACAGTCAATAATTGTTGGGCATTGAATGATAGGTACCCTATGTTTATGTTACGGAATCGTAGATCTGTATATGGGGTTGAAGCCATCTCAAAGTTGAATGTGAAAAATGATGCAAGCATTGAATATTCATGATAAATAGATTTAAAAGATTTTAAAAGAGGCGCAAACATGCTTCAGGATAGAAACATGAAAGAGAAAGAATTATCATTGCAAATCAGGTTTTGCTTGTAATTATTGCTTTTTAAACATTTAAATGCAATTTTATCATGTTTATAGGTTGAAAGAATTAAATCTGCATGTATTCAAGGCTTTCATCAGTTTTCAATTGACGTTTAAGATGTGTTGAGACCCTGGTTAAGTTATTGAAATTAGAGTAACATAAATTAAATAACAGTGCTAAAAAGATGTGAAAATATATTATAATAAATGTATATTAGAGATCCTTTACTTACATAATATATGAGAAAGTAATTATTAAGAACTTCTTGAACAAATCCAGGAAGTAAAACTAAATAAGATCAGGAGCTTTTTTGTGTTTTTTCAATGTGGCCTTGTATATTGCCTTCCATACACTTGAAAGAATTAGGCTTTTTGCTATTAGTACCTTTTTGGCATTGCAGCTTAAGATTTTTTCATATGGCCATATGGAAAAGTACAGATTTGCCCTGAAATAAATATTTTATTGCTTAGGGCTTTGCTGCAAGATGAAATCTTGCCTATATCTACAGCAAATTGCTGTACAGTAATATCTATCCTTTTGGTAATTCTTCATATTAAAACGATGTCATTTTGTGTAAAAAATCAGGCCATTATGGCGTAACATGCCTTTGAACAATCAAAAACATGGAATCGTATGGCAAGTGGTTAATTATTTATTGTTAAATATTTACATGTAAATTTGTACATGGTTGTTGTTTGTTACTAGAGTAGGAAGTTATTTTTTCAAAGAAAAAAAAAAACAAAAAACAAATGTGCCAAGCATTTCATCTCTAACAAGTTTCATGTTTATGACAAAAAATATAACAAATTTTCACAATATATACTTCAGTAAACATTAGTAAACTTTATGTAGGTACAAAATGTTCCTGTGCATGCTTTTGAATACAAAATTTTAACTTTTAAAAAAGAAACTACATGTAAATTTAATGTATTTTTCAATGCTATTGGCACATTTGGTAAATAGAAAAAAAAAGAAAAAGTATCAGACTCTGAAAAAAAAAGTAAAGAGAAAATAGAATCAACCAGCAAATAGGTTCCATGTAAAAGATAATAATATTTTTGTGTGAAATGTTGACCTGACGTTATATATGAAACCAACTTAACTGATGAACATTTCTATTTATTATACTAAAACCTTTTCTATATTGTGATAATGAATGTTGAAATAAAAAAAATTATTTGAAATATGATTTGTTATATATGTGTAGTGATGTTTCCCATAAGAGCTGTAAATATTCTATTAACTGTGTTCTGGAGAATTCCTTTAAAATTAAAATAAAGAGATGTGATATGATTTCCAATGAGATAATTATAAACCCAAGACCAAGGGAAAAAGATGCAAACAACTAAGGTTGACATACTGTCCTCAACAATGTGAAAAACTCATGATGTATATCAAGTTATAAAAGGGCCATTGATTACAAAATGGGAAGCAATTCAAAAGATGAAAATTAGCTAATTCCTCCTTCCTGGCTAAGGACAGGCATAAACTTGTTTTCAAGTGCTCAACAATGCTCCCTAACTTAGACAATGGTGTAAAAACACAACATTAGAACAAACTATAAAAATCAGTGATAGACTCGTCACATTTGTACTATGGACAAAAAAAAAAAAAATGACAAAACATAAAACAATGTGAAAATACTTGATGGTTAAGGAGCTTAGTTAAGGTTTAATGTTGATTGCTGTAATTGTCCTGCCTGTGACTACCTGATGTCAGAAATTTGTTATAGAATGTGAGAGTAGGGACACTTGATGGAGTTGACTCTTTGTATAAAGCTTCATGTTTCAGAAGGTAGAAGGACCTGAGTAATTCATTAAGGAATGACTGTAATATTTTTTCTGTCTATGAAGAAATAACATAAAAAATGTTGTGCACACTGAATAACCCGTGTAGCGGGTTATTTTAAAGTGTGCACCACATTTTTGATGTTATTTCAAATAGACAGAAAAAATATTACAGTCATTTCTTATAATTTAATTCTAAATTCCATTTTAAACCGGAGTAAACCATGAAAAAACGTTGATGACGTCACGGTCACATGACAAAATTTATGTCTATGAGCTTATAAACAAAACAACGTCAGCCAATCAGAAGACGCGTTACATCCAAAATTAAATTATTATCTGATATCTATATGCCTTATGGTCTAGTGTTTCCATCTGGCATGTCCGTTGTATTTGACCTCATTTTAATGGTTCAATGACCACTACAAAACTTATTTTTATTCAGACTTTTAGCTCACATGAACTGAAGGGTCTATTCTCATCAATTGGCCTCTATCCTTGGCCAATTATAACCAAACATGGCTACAATTATCAATGGGGTATCTGGGTAAAATGCAAGTTTTATCTATTAACTTGAAAATGACTATAGATGGAGAAAATCTGACAGGGGCAAATTTGTCAGACGACTTGTTTTAGGAGTTAATTATTGCCCTGAAATTATGAATTTTTTCATTTTTAGCTCACCTGGCCCAATGCGCAAGTGTTAGCTTTTTGAATCATTTGGCATCTGTTGTCGTCCGTTAACTTTTACAAAGAAATTTTCCTTTGAAACTACTTAGCCACAATCATTATTAGGGTATCTAGTTTAAAAATGTATCCAGTGATCACGCATGTCAAACGACATGGCTGACATTGCTAAAAATAGAACAAAGGGGTAAAGTGCAAGTTTTGTCTATTATCTTGAAAACCACTATAGATAGAGAAAATCTGACAGGGGCAAACATGTTCAATATGATGAGATCTAACTACAGTCCATTTACATCAAAACTTGTCAGATGACTTCTTATAGGAGTTATTGCTTTTCCTGCGACGGCTGCAAGGAAGGCATCAACAATTGATAAGTTGTCTGCTTAAGTTAGTTTGATAGGAACTACTTGTGATAGATCATTGATATTTAATATAAAGTTGCATTACTATCAGTACATATCAGTTTGACGACTATTTCGAGGCCCTACCCCCTAGGTCAGGGTCCAGTGACTTTGAATTAATTAGCAATTTTCAATGTTAAATTTTCTTGCTTAGTTAGTTTGATGAGAACTACTTGTGATAGATCAATGATATTTTGTATGAAGTTGCATTATAGTCAGTACATATCAGTTTGACAACTATTTTGAGTCCCTATCCCCTAGATTATGGTCCAGTGACTTGGAATTAATTAGCAATTTTCAATGTTAAGTTTTCTGCCCAAGTTAGATTGGTAGGAACTACTTGTGATAGCATGAAGTTGCATTACTAGCAGTACATATCAGTTTGACAACTATTTTGAGGCCCTATCCCCTAGATCATGGTCCAGTGACTTGGAATCAATTAGCAATTTTCAATGCTAAGTTTTCTTCTTCAGTTATTTTAATAGGAACTACTTACAATTGACAATTATATTTTCTATAAAGTTACATTACTGTCTGTATATCTCAGTTTGTTGACCATTTTGAGGCCCTGCCCACTAGTCCATGGTCCAGCGACTTAGAATTAATTAGTAATGTTAATGTCCATCCGATTGTCTTTTTAAGAATTTTATGCGGACAGGCGAGACATATCTCTGTGTAAACAGTTTATTTTTCATATTTGACTACATTTGTATTATCTGGTAAACTTTTTATAGATAGACAGAAATTCTATAAAAAGCAAAAATGATCAGCAAGACCAGATCTATTTTAGGATGATTTTTACCAATTTTTTGTGTTTTGTTAGATTGGTAGGAACTACTTGTGATAGATCAATGCTATTTTGTATGAAGTTGCATTACTAGCAGTACATATCAGTTTGACGACTATTTTTAGGCCCTGCTCCCTGGATCATGGTCCAGTGACTGAATTAATTAGCAATTTTCATTGTCAGTTTTCTGCTTAAGTTAGTTTGATATTATCTTGAAAACCATAAAGGATAGATAGCAACTTTAAATTGTAGAAATGATCAGCAAGACATGATCTTCGAATAAGTTGTATTGCTGAAATTGTCGTTTACCTCAAAATAGGAGTTATGGCCCTTAAATGATGATTCTTACCAATTTGACGTGTTTTTAAACGACCGCAAAAAATTTTTGTGGTCGTATATTGGTATGACGTTGGCGTCGTCGTTGTCGTCGTCGTCGTCGTCCGTCGTCGTCGTCGTCGTCCGGCGTGGTCGTCCGAAGACACATTGGTTTTCGCACTCTAACTTAGTTTAAGTAAATGGATCTTTTTGAAATTTGATCATAAGGTTAAATACCACAAAAGGAAGGTTGGGATTGATTTTGGGGGTTATGATACCAACAGTTTAGGAATTAGGGGCCAAAAAGGGGCCAAAAATAAGCATTTTCTAGTTTCCAGACAATAACTGTGGAACGGTGTATGGATCTCTCTGAAATTATACTACAAGTTTCCATACCACAAAGGGATGGTTAGGATTTGTTTTGGGGGGTTATGGCTCAAACCGTTTAGGAATTAGGGGCAAAAAAGGGGGAAAAACAAGGTTGTCCTGGTTAATGGATAAATACTTTAGTACAAAACATAATTTAAAGCAGTGTAAGGGAGATAAATCAAATACATCATTGAAATTATCTCCCTTACACTGCTTTTAAATTATGGATAAAGTAATGGTTAATGAACTATAAAGATAATTTAAAACAGTGTAAGGGAGGTAATCCAAATACAACGTTTTGGTTACTTCCCTTACACTGCTTTTAAATTATGTTTAAAGAAATGCATATTTATAAAGGAAGACCAGTAAAAATATCTGCAAATGTTGCATCTTTTTTTTTTACAAAAAAATCCATATGAAAGATTTGACACTATATTTTTAATTCTATTATAAAATAGATTAAGTTAGCACTATGGTAAATTTAAATGGGTAATTATGGTTGCCAACTCCATTGGAAATTTGAATTGAGATTATGACCATATCTTGAGGGAAAGAATTTTTTGGGGGAAAAAAGGGGGGGGGGATAAAAAGAAATTGTGGGGGGTCAATTTTTTCTCATTTCAGATTTCAGAAATTAAAAAAATTATCCTCAAATATTATTTTTTTTTCAAATTTCAAATATTGAAAAATTTCAAGAAGAAATCTTTAATTGCACAGTATGGCGCATTAGATTTGTAAAATCTTTGATCACATTTATTTATTTGTTATGCCGAATCCAACAGTGTATTTAGATTTTTAATTTTGGGTCCAGTTTTCAAATTGGTCTACATTAAGGTCCAAAGGGTCCAAAATTAAACTTTGTTTGATTTTAGCAAAAATTGAATATATGAGGTTCTTTGATATGCTGAATCTAAACATGTATTTAGATTTTTGATTTTTGGCCCAGTTTTCAAGTTGGTCCAAATTGGGGTCCAAAATTAAACTTTGTTTGATTTCAACAAAAATTGAATATATGGGGTTCCTTGATATGCTGAATCTAACCATGTATTTAGATTTTTTATTTGTGGACCCGGTTATCAAATTGGTTCATATTGAGGTCAAAAGGGTCCAAAATTAAACTTTGTTTGATTTCATCTAAAATTGAATTATTGGGGTTCTTTGATATTCCAAATCTAACCGTGTATTTAGATTTTTAATTTTGGGTCCTGTTTTTTAAATTGGTCTACATTAAGGTCCAAAGGGTTCAAAATTAAACTTAGTTTGATTTTAACAAAAATTGAATTTTTGGGGTTATTTGATATGCTGAATCTAAACATGTGTTTCGATTTTTGATTATGGGCCCAGTTTTCAAGTTGGTCCAAGATAGGGTCCAGTATTTAAACTTTGTTTGATTTCAACAAAAATGGAATATATGGGGTTCTTTGATATGCTGAATCTAACCATGAATTGAGATTTTTGATTATGGGCCAAGTTTTCAAGTTGGTCCAAATTGGGGTCCAAAATTAAACTTTGTTTGATTTCAACAAAAATTGAATATATGAGGTTCTTTGATATGCTGAATCTAACCATGTATTTAGATTTTTTATTTGTAGGCCCCTCTATCAAATTGGTTCATATTGAGGTCAAAAGGGTCCAAAATTAAACTTTGTTTGATTTCATCAAAAATTGAGTTATTGGGTTCTTTGATATGCCAAATCTAACCGTGTTTTTAGATTTTTAATTTGGGTCCCGTTTTTTAAATTGGTCTTCATTGAGGTCCAAAGGGTCCAAAATTAAACTTAGTTTGATTTTAACAAAAATTGAATTCTTGGGGTTCTTTGATATGCTGAATCTAAACA